AAAATTGCAATAAGTTTACGCTGCTAGAGTCTGGTTCGGATGGAGTTCTACGCGTGATTTTATTGCGCTCAAGGACGTTCTATTTTCGAACTAGTTGAAACCGGAAATAACGCAACTACTTTCGAACTTCAAACACAAATTTGATTATCGTTATTATGTGTTAGTTTATGTTGTTTCAAAGATTGAATTATGTATGACAATAATATTTCACTCTATAAACAATATTTCACTAAAATATGTGATTCAAAGGCAACCCAAATTGTAAAAAGCAATATCAAGTTCCGCGTATAAACACTGTTGCAAAGAAGCGGCGGAGCGGAATTTTAGCCAAAATCGGCTAGTAAGGCGTCATATGACACAGGTTTGTGCTGGGACAGCGTTTCCGGTGACGACACAACGAGTGACACAATTCTTGAAGAACGCAAAAAAAAAAAAAAAAAAAAAAATTGCCAAGAATAATGAAACTGAACTTTATATTTTGTAGAATTTAAACAATTTATCCACAAAATTTCTCATACTACTAATTAATCCATCATTCGAACTAATTATTATTTTAAAGATTTCTTTTTAAACATTCACCAGCAAAATATGTGAAGTATAATCATATGTACCTCCTCAGACCATTTCGTGGCCTGAGGTATCTCACAAACAGGCTGGATAAAAAAAAATGCTCGTTCATGAAATTATCACCTTGGAATTGTTCATTTGAAAATTAACTATAAAACGTTTTCAAGTATAACAAATCATTATTTTCTGGTTGTGGAATTACCTCATTTTCGATGTTTTCAGTCTAGCACACCGTTTACATTGAGTGGTAGCATGCCCGATCACCCCCTCCCCAGTTTTGCCGGCACACCCCTGTTGTAAACCGAAGGGGCGAATATCGAAGGTTATTGTCGAAAGAGGGCGGTGCTCTGACAAATTTCAAAATGGCTACGCCGAGTAATCTCGTGGAAGATAACATTGTACCACTACCAGAGTACACTGTCACTTGCACTACTTCAATACCTAATTCAGATATATCTGACGGTAAACATAACCGGTAAGTTATACTAAAACACGAAACGTTTCCTGGAGCGGTTCATGTAACGGAAGTGTTTAAAACAAAGAATTCTAAACAACTACATTTCTATGTATCTCTGTTATCATGGTAGTTCATTGATTGCCGGTAAGGTCGCGATCACCCCACGACGAAGGAAATAATCTAATCAGCAATAAAAAAACAACTACAGCGAAACCTGTATCTACGTATTGTATCTGCATTCAAAGTGTTAAAGCTAGATTTTGACCCTTGTCAAACTGATATTTTATTTAAAAATGCACACAAATGAACTTTTTCCATACGATATTCCATATGTATATTTTGATTCAAAATAATCAACTGGCGGCAATTTTGTTAAAAATTCACTAAATTCCAATTTTTCCAGACATGCTTAGGCTGCTTTGTTTCAAACTTAATATGGTTTTATATGCTTTGTGCCTGATGTATGACCCGTTTTAAGAGGGTGGTGACAGCGTATTGTTATATGTTTAAAAAAACATGAATCATATGTAAAAACAAAATATACTGGTAGTCTCAAATTATCACCACTAAAAATAATAAAATCTTTGAAACAAGGACGTTGATGTTTTTATTCACATTCATTGCCTTTTGACCTTCTTCCATGCATTCGCAGATGCATCAAGGAACTGTCATGCATGAAAATACTAAATTGATCCCTATTTTTCCAGACAAAAATATTGTTGAATTAGCTGAAACTGCTATATATCAACGTTTGTGTGAATTATGGTATTTAAATGGGAGTATCAATCATACTTGAATTGTACGCCACAGTCCCTCCACGTGGAAGGACTGTGATCAAACCATATGCTGTCTTCACACTCGACCGTTTTTTGGCATTTTGACCCAAAATGGCCATTTTGTTTCATGGTTCTGGAGTCATTTCTCAAACTTGTTACAGTGACTGGTCATACACCTCTGAATTAATTCCAAGGTCACAATTTACATTGACCAATTTTCAACAGATTTAATGTGATTGTGGAATTTTTCTTTGTGTTTTTTGAAGAATTCACTTCCGTGCATAATATTAGAAACATGTCTAGATGAACACTTCAACCGTAGCTTTGTACTTGTATATCATGTCATAAATATACACATGCAGTCAGTTTGTTTTATAAAACATTAAATCAATATTTTATATAAAACATTCATACGTAGTATGTAACTCTTTAGAAATAGGGTTTTCATAAGTTCAAATGTCATTTCTAGGTCTTTTAAACATGTATACAGAATTTTGGTGAGTTTTAAAGTTGATGAACAATTAGATGCAAGATTTCTTTCACACTTTCATACATCAATTTTGTTTTTAAAATAATATTAAATCCAACAGAACATATCTTCAACATATTTACCGAAACGATTCGGCCAATTTTAGTAAAACTTGCTATGATAATGATAGATTTGATTTGAGATGTGCGACCATTTTGTTTTTTTAGTATTACTGTTTTACCTATTTATATGGATCAAAGTTACTGTCTCGTATGATTTAGAAAGGTCAAATACAATTTTCAATTATTGTCTATAACTTTTTCTACATCACTTTTATAGGATTGGTCCATTGATATCTAAATTAGCCATACAGTGCAATCCTAATAGGTTTGTATTCACTTTACGTGAGGCTATACAGGGATTCTCTTATAACAATACATACAGTAATATCCAATATTTAACAGTAATGTAATTGAGGTAAAATTGTTCAAAACTTCGCACTTCAAGTTTTTTTCTTAAATACTTTTTAAACAAGTGTGTGAACCATGCAATGGAAGTCTTTGCAGTCATCCTGTCTGTAATGTGTGTCTGTTCGACTGATATCTTAAGAACATTGAATTACAATAAAATGTAGTACAGAGGTTCTCTTGGGAACTAATTATATGTGAAGTTTCACTGATCTCTCCAGAACCACACAAATTTTAATGAAGTGGTCTGGGATTATCTGCGACCTGATGTTTTTAGTTGAAATACAGGAATATTAAATGTATAATTTGCCTAATAATTAGACAGTTTTAAGCTTTTCCATTCATATTTCAAGAAGCAATAAACGGCTGATGCTTGCTTCATACATGTAGGTGCTGTGGGATACTTCACAGACCTGATTAAATTTTAGCTGTTACACAGATATCTCAAGAATTTAATCATAGACAGTATACTTCTATACTAAATCTTCTTGTGCATTGTGCGTATTAAATATTTAATTCACACAATAATTGGCTATTTTATTATACATATGGCATTTGTCATTTAAAGGTGAAATTCACAGAAAAGTACACTGTTGGAACTACTTTTACCATCCTGTATTGTTTTTGATCTATTGTTTTACAGTGTTGTAAGCCTTACAGAAAATGATGCAGAAGAAACCGTGATTCACACTGAAATAGACAAGCAGATGGGACACAGTCAGGTCCAAATTCTGGAATATGTGACAGCAGAGCATAGTAAGAAACGACATAGTTGTGAAGTATGTGAAAAAAGCTTTGGTGAAAAGACTGAACTCAAAATTCACATGAGGACCCATACTGGTGAGAAACCCTACGAGTGTGGACATTGTGGTAAACGTTTTAGCCAAAAAGGTCATCAAGTATCACACTCCAGGATTCACACTGGTGAGAAAAAACATCAATGTGAAGTATGTGAAGCCAGATTTATCCAGAAAACAAGTTTAACTGTTCACATGAGAACACACACTGGAGAAAAACCATATCGGTGCCAACAGTGCGAGAAAAGTTTCGCTAAAAAAGATGGTTTAACAGTCCACATGAGAAGTCACTCAGGTGAGAAGCGGTTCAAGTGTGAACAATGTGAAAAAAAATTCAGTGCGAAGGCCAAGCTAAAAATTCACACACGGATACATACTGGTGATAAGCCATATAAATGTGAACAATGCGAGAGCCAGTTTATTAAAAAAGATGGTCTTACAGTACACATGAGAACACATACTGGAGAAAAGCCATTTCATTGTCAAGTATGTAAAAAAGGTTTTGCTCGCAGAGGTGCTCTTACTCTGCACATAAGAACACACACTGGTGAGAAGCCATTCAAATGTGGAATGTGTGAAAAGAATTTTGCACGAAAAAGTGATCTGGTAAGACACCTTAAGCATCACATTTCTAAGAAGCCAAGCAAAGTAGAACATTTAAAGGACCCAGAGAACTTGGTTGATAAAAAACAGCATCAGAAGTCTCCTGAAATCGATCCACCAGCCAAGCCAGTAAAGACTTGTGTTCGTGATAAACCATATGTTTGTGAACAGTGTGAAAAAAGATTTTCAGAAAAGAATGTATTGAAAATTCACATGAGGACCCATACTGGTGAGAAACCCTACGAGTGTGGACATTGTGGTAAGCGTTTTAGCCAAAAAGGTCACCAAGTATCACACTCCAGGATTCACACTGGTGAGAAAAAACACAGATGTGTAATATGTGAAGCCAGATTTATCCAGAAAACAAGTTTAACTGTTCACATGAGAACACACACTGGAGAAAAACCATATCGGTGCCAACAGTGCGAAAAGCGTTTTGCTAAAAAAGATGCTTTAACAGTGCATACAAGAATTCACACTGGTGATAAACCATATGGTTGTGAACTGTGTAATAACCGGTTTTCTGAAAAGGTTAAGCTCAAACTTCACATGATGAAACATGAAGATGAAAAAGTTTACCAATGACCAATCTAATAAAATAATGACCAATGTACAGACTTGTAAAAATATGGTAATTTAGTTCAGCATCCATGCTGTAAATGAGCTGTGTAAGACGTATCCAATTCTGAATCTTCTGTGATGAATAAACTAAGAAATCAGAGCATTTAATTTAGTGTATGTTTATAAACAGTGAATATTTTGACTGATAACTCCTTATTCAATCACAATCTATAGTAATTAGAAGTTCAACAACAAAATGATCTTATCAGTGAGAAAAAATGTATGGTCGTCAAATTATTTGTCTTCTGATGAATGTCAAGTGTTAATTTGTGAATTAAATATTAATGTATCATAAAGTGATGGGAAACATCTAGCCTTGTGACTAAATTTATCACACGACATGTACTCTAAGCTCTGCTCATCTTTTCACTTTGTGTGGAAATTTTCAAGAAGCGAGGTATTTCTGCACACGAGTAGCCTGCATTCCCCTCGTGGTTTTGTCTGTTCCATGCTTTTAACATCACATCACAAACAGGCTTTAATTGCCCTCCAAGTGACTCACTTAATGCTTCAAGTGGTGTCAGAACTTGACATCACCAGGCATCTATCAATCAAACACTTAGGCCTGGCTAGTCTGAACCTGTTCTCGTACTCAAGTGTTTGCTCCATGACGAGCTATAGACATCGGACATGTTTTGCGAGGACAGACACCATGCCTCCAAACAGTTCAATGCAAACTTCAACCAGTTTCCATACTACAAGATTCACCCTTATTCTGCTAGTTAACATAGAATTTGGCCAGCAGTCTCTTCCTCACCAAATCTACCTTTGCTATGATCTCAACAGTAATGCCTATATTCATCACCCACCATGCAAAAAAAGTCTGGATTTCTCACAGTAACCAAGTCTTGTATTTTCACACTTTAAAGCAGACATCCACCTTTTGGCCAGGGTCACCTAAAAAAATTGACAAATTAGAGCTCTGATCTACTTACAGGTGTTCTGTCATTCTAGACCTCATGTTGAGATGGGATGAGGTGCTCCGACTCTCACTTAGCTCCTGCTCAACCTCTTCTTTCCCATGCTGATGTGGCATTGTAAGGTACTTATTCATACTATCCATACAGACTGAAACTGCTGGTTGCTGACTAAAAACTAACTGACCAAAACGTGCACTGTATACAATTTTTTTTTATGCTGGGGTTGGGGGGTGTTTGTGGTTTCAAGAATTGGTGATTGGAATGCTGACATCCATATAACCAACAACCCAAGTAGCAATTAAGACTGGATCCCAGTAATAAATCAATGACAAGGTTTACAGCAAGTCTCGGAAGTACTGGGGCAGCCAATTTGTAAGCTCGCTAGTGAATTGGCTAACTGCTTGGGTTTTGACTAAACAATTGGCTATGGAATCTCGTTGGCGCCGGCTCGTGGTCCCATCCACTCTGGATGAGTCTATATTGCATTAGGGAACAGTTTTTACGTAGCCTGGAATTGCTTTGTTACACGAGAAGTTATAATGTAACAGTAGTTTCTCTGATCAGTTTGAGAATGGCCACAGTCGACTGGCGTTCAAGTGATAATATTATGAATACGATTAACCCACCGATATTTACTATATGGGGTAGCCATCTTGAACACTAAAAGAGAAAGCAAAATCGAAATCCAACTGTAAGACCGTCTCTGATTACCTCCTAAAGTATGACTATCAACCCCTTCAGTGTGGGCGTGACCAGAAGACGGCGTCAGCGAGATTTCAAGTCAACCGTTCAGTCAAAACCAAAGCAGTTAGCCAATTCGTTTGCAAGTTGACTGCCCCAATACTTCTGAGACTTGCCATAATAAAGTCAAATCTTAATCAAAGAAAGCTTAGAAAGATCTCCCATGTGCTGAGAGTATTGAAGACACATTAAAAATTAATTCAAAATTACTTGTACTTGAGATATTGATGGAATAGCTGAAAACTAATTATGTAAATCAGGTAACTGATATGAACAGATTTAAGTGTAAAACTAATAAGGTCTGCACAATGTACCAAGTTTCATTGAAATGCGATTAGAATTATTATTATTATTATGCTAATTAGAGAGTTAATATGAACAGATTTTAACCCAAAATTAATCAGGCTGTCTATTGTCCTAGAGCATTTATGTACCAAGTTTTATTCAAATGTGATGATCAATACTTGTGATATCAGTATTAATTAATTATGTTAATTAAGTGATTAAGAAGCATACATATTTACCAAAAACTAATATTGTGTATAGTCCTAGGTTCATTGAAATGTGATGGGTACTCTTTAAAAGTTTCATTGAAATCCAATGAGTGGTTTGTAGACATCAGTGCAACAGCCATAGAACAGCAAAAAATTAACTAATTATGCAAATTAGGTAATTAATAGGCACAATTATTTATCCCAAAATTAATCAGGTCTCTGCATAGTCCTAGAAAATGTCGCAAGTCTCATTGAAATGTGATGATTAGTACTTGAGATATCAGGTGAAAAGCTGAAAATTAACTAATTATGCTAATAAGGTGATT